GGGGGTGTTTAGCAGGCATTGATTTTTTTTGTGTTAATTTTCTTGCTGCATCTAAAAAGAGACTTGTGAGAACAGGAAGTGATTTCATTTCTCTAGAAACACCTCCATCCCTCTGGTCCTGGGTTACCATGGAGACCAGGGGCCGGTTCACCTGGAGACAGTAAAAACAAGTGACGGCGTCTCAGGAGTTTACGAACACAAACACAGTGAGCAGCTTCTCAACAGCTCGAGAAACAAGCAGCAGTATAAAGATTGTGCACAGACAGGAACTGGCCTTTGGCTTCAGAATAAAAAAATATCAAAACAATAAATAGAGAGAGATACAAAGACCCTTCAAAATAAAGTCAGTCACATAAAGACTTGTGCGTGGCTGCAGTGCACATGATTGTAGAGATAAACAGAAGTGATTGTTGGCTCAGGTTATCGCTCCATCCAGGAAGCTGCACCTGAGCCCATTGACGCCCGGGACGCCGGTCTGGATCCAGGTCTGGACCCAGATCTGGATCCAGGTCTGGACCCGGATCTGGGCCCAGTCTGCCTCCTGCTCAGACTGAAGCCGTCCTCTCGGGGCTCAGTGGCCTCTCCACTAGCGCGGCTGACAAACACAGTGGGCAGCTGGGTGGAGGCCATCTCAAACCTCAGCTCCGCTGCGCTCTTATTTGCACGGGAGGAGGAGGACTTCCTCTTAGTCCTGGGCAAGGGCGAGGGCAGGGGGAACCCTGGGAAGGCTCTGTGTGAAGATGAGGAGGCGTCTCCGGCAGCAGCAGAGGATGAAGAGCCCAGTTTGGCCAACGCCACCGGGATCTCCTCCAGGGACTCTGCAGAGTCCGAGTGGTACTCAGCAGGGGGGGCGGCAGCCTGGACAGGGCCCGAGTTGAGGGCCAGGGGGGGCAGGGAGGCCCTCAGAGGAAAAGCGGGGAAAGGAAGTCGCTGACTGAGCGACACGGAGGAGAGACTGGGATCTGCAGCAGAACAACACACCAACAATAAGAGGTTGAATCAGGTTCTTCAGTTCTGTTTGTTCACAGGAAGTGTGTGTGTGTACCTGGGGGCGGGGCCATATTCGAGCAGTGTTCTCTCGTTTCCTCGTTTGGAACTTTACGGACTTTCTTCTTCTTTTTCTGTCAAAAGCAACAACACAAATTAACACAAACATTGGTGTCAGTGTATGTGTGCATGTTTACCTGTGTGTGTTGGTGTGTGTGTGTGTGTATGTTTACCTGTGTGCGACGGTGTGTGTGTGTATGTGCTGTTGTTTTCAGTTGTGTAGACATGGTGGGTGGGGCTTCTTCCTCCACGACAGGACTGGACACAGTCCTCACTCTGCCGTTAACCAGGAACCTAACACACACACA